ATTTTACGACTCTCCACATTTATGTATTCTCCATTCCTACCAAACTGTACAAAGCTCTTCCCTAAACATTCTATCTTACTCCTCCATATTTGCACAAGCTAGTTTCATATCTGTAATACACACCTAATTTCTGGTTTGCATATTCCTTATCTTTGTTAAAGGCTCATCTCTGGTGCCTCCTCCCTTTAGTTTTTTTCTGATCTCTTTCCCCTGGTTGGTAGTGTTCACCCCTTCCTCAGAAATCCCCACAGCACTTTATCTGATCCCCTTCCCCTAATCACTTCGTAACTATGCTTTCCTGTGTACATGTCATTGCATCACTGTCACCCCTAGAATATAGGTTTCTTAAGGACACGAACTGTTTCATTTTTATCTTTATTACTAATGTTAGTATACATTCTACTAGAACCTTTGATCCTGTTTTTACCTTCCCTCAGGACTTTTATTAAGCCCATAACCACCCTGACCCCCTCAATGCATCTTCAGTCTCTCCCTTTCTACTGGCTCCTTCCAGTGTGCCTACAAATATTGTCACATTTCTCCCAATCAAGAGAGAGAGAATGTGTGTGAAAACCTATCTTCTCTTGATGTTTGTACCCAGTTCAGCTACTACTACCCCATACATAGCTCTTCATTTTCACCACTAAGCATTTTGAAAAAGCAGTTAATAATGACCGCTCCACTACTTACTCTCAACTTCTGACAGTTGAGTTTCTATCAACATTCTGACATAATCATCAAATCCAGTGACTTTTTCAATTTTTACCCTCTTTGCTCTCTGTATCTTTTGACATAATTACTTATATTTATATGACATATTACCAATTATTCCCTCCTAGTAGTGGATAGCCTTCCCTTAACTTCGAGAACACTACTTTCTCCTGGTTCTTCTATTTTCTCTTATTTTTTTTTTTCTGTCTCTTTTGTCTTCTTCCAGAACCCTTAATGTAGGCATCTATCTGACACTGACCCTTTTCACTTTAGGGTAGGAGATCTTAATTTTTTTGTGTGTGTAATGGACCCGTTTGGCAGTCTGATGACTGTTTTAGATGCATAAAATAAATAAGATTACAAAAGAAACTAATTATAACATATAATTATCAAAGTATTGTTAAAACAAAAAATAGTTCATGGATCCCAGAACCCTCATTTTCTTCCTTGGCTTCAGCTGTGACCACTAAGCAAATGATTCTCGTGATTATGTCCAACTCTTGTCACTCTTCTGATCTCCAGACCTGAATCTCTGAGTACATACAGTACATCCCCACCTGGATTCAGTTTGATTCCATAAGTATTTCTTAAGCACTTGCTATTGAAGCTTCATGGTGCAGTGCATGGAAGAACACTGGATTTTGAGTCAGAGAATCTGAGTTCAAATTGTGGTTCTGCAAGTTATTTAACCCCTGTGTCTCAGCAAGTCATAGCACTTTGCAGAGGATGTGGCATTTCAACTGAATCTTGTAGGGAGGTAGGGATTCCAAGAAGCAAAGATGAAAAGGGAAAGCACTTCAAAACTATGCAAAGTATGGAGACCAGAGAGAGAAGAGCTGTGTGAGGAACCACAAATAAACAATTGTTTGGAACACAAGAGTGCATGAGGAGGGGCAGCTAGGTAGTGGAATGGATAGAGCTCTGGCCTTGGAGTCAAGAGGATATGAGTTCAAATCCAGTGTCAGAACTTGATACTAGCTGTGTGACCCTGGTCAAGTCACTTAAACCCAATTGCCTCACCCTCCACCCCCCAAAAAAGTGCACGAGGGAGTGACGTGAAACCAGTCTAGAAAGATGGATGGACCCAGGTCAGGTAGGGCTTTAAGTGACAAAGGAAATTTGGCAGATGGTTTAGCAAGGAGAGAACCTTGAAACCCAGAGTCCAGTTAGCTTGATTTAGTATGCTGGTGAGAGATAATCAGCATGGTGATCATGTGAGTGGAGAAAAGGGGGTCGAAGGGGAGAGATGTAGGTAGAATTAAGAAAGACTTTGTACCTGATGGAATATGGGGAATATAGGGGAGTCAGATGACTCTTAGGGTACAAACTTGGGTTCTAAGCAGGTTAGTGATCATCACCACAGAAATAGGAAATTTAGAAAGAGATGGGCTTCAGAAAAAAGATAACCAGTTCTATTTTGGACATGTTGAGTTTGAGATGCCCATTGGATATCTAGTTAGAGATGTCCAACAAACATTCGATCATGAGGGGGACTAGAATGTGGGAGAGGCATATGAAGTGGAGATGTAGGTTTTTAAGTCATCTACAGTGATGGTGGTCGAGTCTATGTGAATCCTGAAGAAATTCCCAAGAGAGTTTAGAGAAGAGAATATGCCTTAGAACAGAGCCCTGGAGTATATACAGCCAAGTGTAAGGAATGGCACCTAGCTGATGGTTCAGTGAAGGAGAAGTCAGAAAGGTAGGAGGAAGAGATCTAGGAGAATAGTGTCACAGATTCAGGGAGGAGAGTATATACTGGGGGAGGTGGTGGTGAAGAGTCAGGTGGACTGAGAACAAGCAGATTTGGCTATTAAGAAGTCTTTAGTAAGCTTGAAGAAAACAATTTCAGTAAAGTGTTGAGATTGGAAGCCATATTGTAGGGGTTTGAAAACAATGGGATGCAAGGAAGTAAAAGAAAGAAGTGTCAACATTTATTATTTATTATCTAGGAATTTGACTGTGAAGGGGAGGAGAGATGGGTACGCAGTGGATAGAGCACTAGGCCTAAATATAGATAACTTGCCAACTCTGTGACCCTGGGCAGGTCATGTGACCTCTTTTGCCTCAGTTTCCTCATTTGTAAAATGGTGATGATAATGGCATCTGCCTCCCAGAGTTATTGTGAGGATGAAGTGAGGTATTTGTGAATTGCTTAGTATAGTGAGTAGTACATAGTAGTAGATGCTATATAAATGTCAGCTCTTATTAGATGAAGGACCGTAAGTTGAGGGGATTGTAAAGTCACTTTTTAAGCATTGGGAGCTCTGGGCATATTTGTAGACACTGGGGAAGTAGCCAATGGATCAAGAGATTGAAAATTAAAGAGGAAATGATCAAAGACTTGTTACCAGAGGAGAATTTATATACTGTACTACATATTCAAAACTGAAATTTAGTTCCATTTGGTTATTTCTGCCTGTTCCTCTCTCTTACCTGACATCTAGTAAAGTTACCAAGTTTTATCAATTCCACTTCTGCAGCATCTCTTGCATCTCTTCTTTTCCTTCTTCCAATAACAGGTCCTTATTTCCTCTGATGTGAATTATTTCAGTCGCCTGTCACTAAGCGTTTCTGCCTCCATTCTGCCCTCCCCTCCCCATCTTTTTTCACATCACTGCCAGAATGAATCTTATACCTGTAGCTGGTCTTGTCAACCCTCTGCTCAAAAGTCTTTTTTAGAGGCTCCCTATTGCCTGCTTAGAAGCCTAGCATTCAAAGTCCTCCAGAGTCAGAGCCTACCTTATTTTTTTAACGTTACTGAAATTATATCCTCTATACACATTTTTGCTTCAGTCAGACTGTGCTACTCTCTGCCCATTCTCCCCTCTCCTTCTCCGCATTTTCCTACTGAATATATCCTACCCCTGGATCTACACCCCCTATTCCTGTTATGTCCTCTCACCAGAGCACAGTTCAAAGCCAGATCTTCCATGAAATCTTCCCTGTGATGACTTTCTAATCCAGTCCAATAAGCTTTTATCAGTCATCTGCAAGCCACAGTGCTAAATCATCAGGTTAAAAAAAAATGGAAATTTAAAAAAGTCTGTATCTTCAAGTCACTTGTCTTCTACCTTCTATAGCAAAACTGTGTTTGCTTTTTTCTAATAATATTTTTACAACACTTTTGAGTTTATGAAGTACTTTACATGTATTACCTCATTCAGTCTTCACAACAGCCCTGTGCATTTATTGTATAACATGGTGTACAGTTACCTATATTTTATCTTATCTTCTTTTAAACCAGGAGTTCTTAACCTTCTTTATGTGTCTTGGGCTCCTTTGGCAGACTGGTAAAGTCTTGGGATCGCTTCTCACATAATTTTTTTTTTAAAATGCTTTAAATAGAATTACACGTACAACCAATTATGTTGAAATATAGTTCACAACGTATTTTTAAAGACAAGTGAATGGACCTTATTAAGCATCCCCATATTAAAGTAAGCCTGATGAAGGCAGCTTTATAGATCTGCATCTTGGACCCTTCCTGCACACCTTCACAACTCTTCCTCCCTCACCACCTGTCTCCCATAGCAGGCACTTAATAAATGTGTATTGAATGTAAATGGATCAGTTCCTTCCTGTTGCAAGTAATGGAAACCCCTTTTGCCTTGCTTCCAAAACCCATTCATAATCTTGGCCCTATCCTACTTGTTCAATTTTATCTCCTGATACTCTCTAGCCCAGAATCCTAGTGTTAGAGTTGAAAGGAGCCTAGGTATGATGTAATCGAATTTAATTGAGTTGAGGAAACTGAGAGGCCTAGAGAGGGTCACATAGCCAGTAAGTGGCGTGGATGCTTGGAAGACCTTTCTTACTGTCCTTTGCAAACTGTTCCCACCTTCCAGCCTTTGCTCATAGTGTTGCGCTTGGCTCAGATGCCTTCTCTTCTTTCTCTGATTATTCTAGACCATACTGTCCATTCAATGCTCATCTAGCACCTTTAGAATCAAGCCTGTATTCGCACACACTTCAATAGTAAATTACTCTGATCTTTCTTTGATGTCCTTCCTAGTTTCGCTTTCAGTTCTTTAGAGACGTGATAACAGTTATAACATTGAGAAATTAAGTAAGAAACAGGGTAATTTCCATCAGAGTAGGAACTTGGCACACATATATAAAATCATCTTCCTGCTGTAACCAGGGATAAGCTAGGGATAAAGTAGAATTTGCAAAGAGTGAATTAAAATGCTGTAGATTGGGGGATAGACTGAGAGGTAATGGTTCTGGGTTAGACTCCAAATGTGTGGTCCCTGTATAGGCTTTCTAACATGTGTTTCTTTCTACTCTAGTTCCGTTGGGAGAGATCCATTCTACAGGCTTCCAGTCAGACCGGGAAATGGCACTGTGAACTCTAGCTGAAATTAGGCGAACTCCAAAGCCAGATCATGGCTACAGTGCTGGAGCCAGAGGACCAGGATCTTTGGGAGGAGGAAGGAATCTTAATGGTAAAGCTGGAAGATGATTCCACTTGGATGCAAGACCCAGTCCTACAAAAGGATGATGCCGTGCTTGAGACCTCACATCAGAATTTCCGGAGATTTCGCTACCAGGAGGCATCAGGGCCCCGGGAGGCCCTGAGCCGACTCCGGGAGCTTTGCCATCAGTGGCTAAGGCCAGAAAGGAGGACAAAGGAACAGATCCTGGACTTGCTGGTGCTAGAACAATTTCTAACTGTTCTGCCTGGGGAACTGCAGAGCTGGGTGCGGGGGCAGCGGCCAGAAAGTGGTGAAGAGGCAGTGACGCTGGTGGAGGGTTTGCAGAAACAACCCAGGAGACCAAGGCGGTGGGTGAGGAGGGGGAGTCGTGATCTATGTGATTTGGAGGAGGAAAGCTTGATGGTGGGTTGGATTCTGGGGGTGACATGTGCTTCATTTTTTCCAGGTTTATTGACTCAACACTTAGTCAGAGCTTGGGTACTGGGCCTGGGACAGATGGTTGGTGTCTGTGAGAAATTTTCAGTTGAGCTTAGCATCTGAAACATTTGCCAGGGGACTGTCCTTCGAGCTATGGGATTTTTGATGGCTACTGCCACCCACAGGTCCTGGCTTTGGTTTTCTCTTCTTCAGGTGTTGATTCTCAGCTTGCTGGGGGAGGAAAGTTCTGTGATTTCCTCACGGGTGCCCATATATCCCCAATTACAAAACCCCCTTTCAGGTTGGTAAGGTATGACAGCAAGCATGAGACGGCTATAGGTTGGGCAGGTGGAAATGGGAAGGAGGAGTATCACGCAACCCTGGGCAACTTGGGGAAGGTGATGGGGGAGGTGGGGAAAGTGGCACCACATTGGAGTGTCCAGAGCCTGTCCTGGCCCAGGACTCGCTCTCGGTAGCCTCTTTTCTGCTCCCCAGTGGAATGAGACTCTTCCTCCTTTCCTGTCTCTGTGTCCCTAGGGTAGCTTTCCTGCAGGCAGCTCCTTGTAGGTTAAGCTCTGATTGCCCCAAGAATTTCCTCTGGGCCCTGTGGTGACAGGAGATGGGGATTGTTCCCAGGTGACGGTCCATGTGCATGGCCAGGAAGTCCTCTCAGAGGAGACATCAAATCTGGGAGCCGACCCGGAGTCACCGATCGGACAGCCGGAGCCTGTGCATGCCCCATCCCTGGAGGAGTCCCATGAGGAGTCCCATGAGGAGTCGCATGAGGAAGGGCCACAGAGCCCAGATCTGAGCACTGAGGAGCAGAGCCACTGCCATGAAGAGGAGCCCCAGCCCCTACAGGAGAGCGGTGGGGAGCCTGATAGTGAAGGGGCGAGGGGCTTCTTGGAGCAGCAGCAGGGAGGGAAGAGAGAAAGGTCCCTGCAGCCCCGAGAGCTTGTGTAGGCTGTGATAGGGGATGTTCCTTAGACTTTGGCAGTCGGAAGTAGGCACAATCTCAGTTGGATTCCCTCGGCAGACCCCAAATGATGCAAATGTTCTTGCTATTCCCGGGGCAGCGTGTATGTGAGTATATGTATGCCTGCTAAGTGACGGGGTGGAGGAGAATGACGTCAGCTTTTCTTAATGTAGTGCTTTTTGAATTCCACGAAGGTAGTGGGAGTGTTCTTCATNATGTATGTGAGTATATGTATGCCTGCTAAGTGACGGGGTGGAGGAGAATGATGTCAGCTTTTCTTAATGTAGTGCTTTTTGAATTCCACGAAGGTAGTGGGAGTGTTCTTCATTGCAGAGAGTGAGGAGGGATACCTGCCCTGATTAGGAGGGGATGACTACATCCCAGATCTAACCTTTCTTGGCTCTGGCTCCTTTCTTATCCTCAGAGTTTCCTGTTCCCCAGCACCATGTCCTTCCTGAGGAGGGAAGCCGTGGAGATCAGGAGATGGTTAACCTTCTTACAGCCATATCCCAGGTGAGCTGTGGTATCCACTCCTAAGTACAGTGCTTCTGGTTTGGCACTCAGTACTAATAGTGTTTGTTAGGACAGGACCCTAAATCTGAATTGTGTCCCAGCTAGAAGAGACCTTCGACCCACACACAAGGTGTTGGGTGGGTTGTAAAACTGCCTGCTTGGCCATTCCTGAAAGGAGATGGCAGATGGATTACAGTTGAGTTCTTGAATTGCTAGTCCCTAAAACCTTTTTTTTTTTTTTTTGGTATTATTGAAGTAAGGGGGTAAGGGCAGGAGGAAGCTGATAAAAATAAAATTTTTTTTAACTTACAGAAAAACTGTGTGGTTATAGAACTGAGTTTTTGTAAATGTTTAAATTACTTGAAGGAACTGGGAGGTCCTCTGTACTGCTAGAGGAGTAGGACCAAATGAGGTTATTCCCTAATGAGGCAACTCCTTGCTTTTCCAATGAAGTGCTCACAGTGGTCAGCCTGTAACATTTATGCAATGTCCAAGACATAGAGGTGCTTTCACAAGAAATGGGAAACACAGTCCCTGCTTAGGGAGAGCTTACACTCAGTTTTTGTGGGGACTGAAATGTAACACATGAGAATGGCTTAATATGGACGACACGTATTCTCTTGTATATGCTCTGTTCTCAACTGCCACTGTTTCTTTGCTCCCCCCATTTCTGGAACATACCCTGCCCTACCCATCTCTACCCATGGAATTCATCCGTCAATCAAGATTTAACCCAAATGTCACCTTCACAATTTTTTCCATTCCCTTAATAGCATCCCTACTCTTAATTAACCTTGTCTCAGAATTCTCATAATGCTATTTATTCCTTTCGTGCATGTCTGTTTTGCATTAAGAACAGAGGAAATAGGTATCTTACCTTTGTCTTCAGTTCCTAGCTCAGTAATTTGTGCACAGTAGGCATTTTTAAGTGTTTGTTTTTGAACAAATGAAAATAATAACATGATTACAAACTTCATGTGTGCAGTGGGTTAACTTCACCAAGAAGTTATGTTTTCAACCAAACTGATGAAAAAAAAGGGAAAGAAATATGAATTGATCGGAAGGAATGGAGAGATTGAAAAAAATGTTCCATAAAGGAATGCAGGGCAGGAACAAGCTCAGTGTGGAGCATCACAGAATTTCAGCATTGGAAGGGAGCTCAGAAGTCACACAGAACAGCATTCCCTTCTGTAACATCCCTGACCAAAATCCCTTTGAAGAACGTCACCAAGAGGAACTTTATTATTTCCTGAGCCACCCTGTTCCAATTTGGAGAGCTCTAAATATTAAGAAGTGTTTTCTTGGACTCAGCCAAAATCCCCCTTTGAAATTACCGCCTAACAGCGCCCAGGAAAAAAAAAAAAACTTATCCCATTTCCACATTTGTCAGATGTTTGAAGACAGCATTCATATACTACCCAAATTTTCTATTTTCTAGGCTAACAACCCTAGTGTTCTTGTATGGTCCAGCCTCAAGTCATTTCAGTATCATGCTTATCTTCTGGATGGGATTCAGTTTATCATTGTTCTTGATGAAATCTGGCGCCCCAAATTGGTGTGAAAAGGACAGAATCCAGGAGGACAATCACACTCCCGATGCCTTTCTTTATGCAGCCTGAGACTGCAATGTTAACTATTGGCCTCTAACCCCCAGATGTTTTTCAGGACCCTTAATCTAGTCTCCCTTCTCCCATCCTGTACTTGTAAAGTTGATTTTTTTATCTTCTCTACCGGACTTTGCATTTATTCATGTTGAATTTTATTTTACTAGATTTTACTTCATTGTTCTAGCTTGACCAGGTCTTTTTGGAGCTTGAATCTATCATTTTGTATGTTTGATGTCCCAGATTGGTATCATCTGCAGATATGATAAACAGGTCCAATAACTGATCTCTATGACATACCATTAGAAACTCCTTCCAGATTGACATTAATCATTACTCTTTGGGCTTCTGCCTAGGTGTCTGTGCTATCATCTAGTTCAGAGGTTCCCAGTCTTATTTGGTGTGCCACCCCCTTTTCAAAAAAAAAATCACTCAGTGTCCCCCGGAAATCTACTTTCTTTAACCCTTTAGTGTTTTTTTTAACATCATTTCAAAAAAGATATATATTTTTAAAATGACACATCTTAAATTTAGTAATTTATTGTAAATTTGTGAGTTTTTTCCTGCATTGAAATTTTGATGATGTGATATTGCGTCATGTAACCATCGTATTGTAAACAAGTCATTACATGCACATATTCCTGCTGATACATGCTGGATGTTTTGAGAATACATGACACACTCACCTGCCAGCACTTACTCGCTAAGATCTATTGGTGGACTTGACCACTGAGTGGTTATAAGTTACATTTTGTGTGTTTATTTGGAAAATAACATAATCACTATGACTTTAACTATGTTCCACAACAGATGAAACACATACAAACAGTTTTTCAAAATTTTCTTATCTTCTCTTCTTTCCTTATGCTTCCACTGCCCCGTTATTTTTATTCAGTACACTCCAATTGTACCCAAGACTACTATCTCTCCTCCACCCGTCCCCTGACCATTCCAGTGTCCCGCGGAGGTGATATCTCCCACTTTGGGAACCTCTGACTAGTCCATATCTCCTACCTTATCCATGAGGACAGATTGAGAAACCTATTATATCTAGATTTCAGCAAAACATTTAATAATGTCTCTTCCATTTCCCCTGATCTACTGACCTATCAAAAAGAAAATTAATTTAATTTATTAAGGCTAATTAATTTAAATTAATAAGAAAATTTAAAGTTAATCTGTCATTATCTGTTCATGATCAAGCCATACTGGCTGTTCATGATGGTTATTTTATTTTCTGATGCCCATAGACAATCTTTTTTAATAAAACATCTTAGAATTTTGTCAGAAGTTAAAGTCAAGTTCTCTGGCCTATAGACTGACTTATTTCATTGTCTTTCCTGGTTTGAAAATAATTAATACTTTACTCCAATCTTACGGCACCTCTCACATTCTGTATAATTTTTGAAAGATTACTGACAGTAGCACAACAATCACTTATGTGCCAATTCTTTCAGTATAATGTAGTTTGCCTGACCTTGATGCCTTGAAATTAATAGAAAGCAACTAGATTGTCTCTTATCATTTACTTATTTACATTAGTAAATTACATTACATTTCAATTCTTTTAACCATTTTTGATCTAACTTCTACTGCTAAGTGATTCTAAAGTCATTCTACTTGGCGTTGAAGATCATCAAAGTAAGAGTAGTTCTACTTTCTGTTTATTGTTTCTGAGTCCTCTTACACATCCTGAGAAATATTTGTTCTGTTCCTTGTTTGATCCTTCTTTTGCTTCCAGAAGAGTCAAAAATAACTTTTTGTTGGCCTTAAATTCATTACCAGCTTTAGCTCCTTCTAAACTTTACCATTCCTGAAATCTTTACAGGCTCATGCTATTCTTCTATTTTTATCCTTGTTTATCTGCCTTTACTTTAATTGTATATGTTTCTTTCATTTTTAGTGGATGAGTTCTCTTGTTCATCTACTTCATCTTCTTTCTCATCATAATCTCATCTTTGCATCATTAGAATTTTTTTTCTTTTCTTTTTTTTTTTTTGCTTAGGCAGTTGGGGTTAAGTGACTTGCCCAGGGTCACACAGATAGTAAGTGTCAAGTGTTTGGTCTGAGGCCGTATTTGAACTCAGGTCCTCCTGACTTCAGGGCCGGTGTTCTATCCACTGCGCCACCTAGCTGCCCCTAGAATTTCTTTATTGAGCATTTAGGAAGAATTATGGTACATATGAAAGAGCACTGGCTCTGGAGTCAGAGGACACGGGTTTAAATCTTAATTTCTGATGCTTACTACCTGTGTGATTATAGATAAGTCACGTTTCCTCCCTGGTTCTCAGTGTGAAATGAAGGGATTGGGCTAGGTGACCTCTGAGGTCCTGTCTGGCTCCAAATGCGTGTTCCAGTGATTCTGTGGCTTCCTGTCCCCCTTTGACTGATCTCACCTGTAAATTGTAGGCCATGGAACCCCATCTGTGTCCGCTCTCTGAGCTCCTGGAAGTTCACTGTTCCAAGGTCTAGAGTGTGTGTCTGACTGTGCCTGAGTTCTTCCTCTCACATATTCTAAGATGAAGGGGTCTCTTACCCAGAAATAATGTTCTTATCACTTCTACTTTAGCAGCCAGTGCCTCCCTTTGCTCAGAATCAGCTCCAGGATAGCAAGTGTACCATGTTTGCTTCCTCTGCCTTTTGAATAAATCATCATAACGGGTTAAGAATTTGCCAGCTCCTGCTTTTAGCAGATTATTTGAAATGAAGCAAAGTCCTGTTGGGGGATCCCTTCTCCCCCTGGATCCCTGCCTTTACAGTGGTCACATCTGCCTCTCATTCCAGAACCAAAGTGTGGGCTTGTTCCCGAAGCATTAGTTACTGAGTGAAATTTCTTTTTGTTTCAGGGACTAGCAACTTTCAAGGATGTGACTCTGTCCTTCTCCCAGGAGCAGTGGGGTGAACTGGATCCAACACAGAAGGAATTCTATGGAGAATATGTCTTGCAGGAGGATTGTGGAATTGTAGTCTCACTAAGTAAGGGCAGATTTCCCCTGATAGTAGATTTCAAAGCATTTCTAAAGCTTATAGTTCTATACTGTGTCCCTTAATGCAACTTTCTGAAATCATAGTAACTTCATCTGGTCTAATCCATTCCTTTTACATGTAAGAGAATTGAGGCCCAAAGAGGCTGACTTGCCCAAAGTTAAATAGGGAGTAAATAGCAGAACCAAAATCTGAACTTAGGCTCTTTGATCCTTAGGTCTAACTAGACTTAAGTTTTTCTTATATATCCAAGCTCACCAGTTGGGTGGGTTTGTTGCTAGAGCAGAGATCAGTAGTCTCTCAGGCTGGAGGGAAGAGAGGATTGCTGGTATCGAGTACTATCAAAACTGAAGAAGAATGTTTGAGGGGCTAAAGCGATCATCAAAAGGAGGGGAGAAATAGGATGGAGCGAAGTGGTATCCACTTTCACGTTTATCATATGGACATGGCAGTAGACATGGTGAAGTTTGGAGACCTTACTTGTGACTGAGAAAGGAAAGCAGCCTCAGAAGTTCTTTGCAATTGGGTTGGAAAGGAAGAGAAGCACTTGAATAAAGCAGACAAGAGATATGTAATACTTACGTGAATCGCAAACTAGAGGGATTGAGGAGCTGATCTCATTCCCCAACTGTTACATAGCTACTTTGTCATCACCTTCCAAATCTCAGGTGTCTGCTAATGCAGGATTAATATACTGGACCATCATGATATTCTTATTTCCTTCCCTTGAATAGCATTTCCAATCCCCAGATTAGATGAAGTCTCCCAGGCTGAAGAGGAGGAAGAATCTTGGGTCCCAGATTTGGAATATACCCAAGATCCTGAAGATACAGAGATCCTGAGTTTTACCTATACAGGTAAGGAACACGGTCTTATCCTCAGTAATCTTCTAGGAGTCACTACACTATTTTCCCATTCTGGGGTAGGCCTGTCCCCCAACTTTCACTTGGCATAGTAGCAGCTATTGATATCTGTGGCTGAGTCTAAATTCCCAAGAAGAAACCCTCCTCTTCCTCTTCTTTCCTTATGGGGCTTGGTAACATTCTTTCTTGTCTCCCTTCCTTTCAGTGGGTTTCTCTCCCTATTTCTAGCCTTCCCAAGGATGTAAAATATGTCCTGACTCTGATTTCTCATTTCAGTTTGCATTTTGTCGTTTCCCCATTGTGAGGAAAACATCACTGACTGTGTCTGATTCTCCCTTTTCTCTTGTCATTATTTTCATAGGTGATAGGAGTGAGGATGAGGAGGAGTTTCTTGAACAAGAAGAAATCAATATTGACGACCTACAGAGAACTACTTTGGGAAGTCCAGAAATTCCCCAGAATATTGATTGGGAACTACTCTTTGAGGATGAACCAAGTAGCCCTAGTGAAAAGAGAATGAATACGAGTTTTTCTCCTCCACATAGTTTCATGAGCCTTCGAGAGAACTTACAATTACATCCACTATTAGGGAGATCTCATGACTGCCCTGTGTGCAGAAAAAACTTCAGTTGCAACTCCCATCTTATTAGGCATCTCAGAACCCACACAGGAGAAAAGCCTTATAAATGTCCTGATTGTGGGAAAAGTTATACTCGTAGCTCTCACCTTGTCAGGCATCAGAAAATCCACAAGTTGCAAGTACCATTTACATTTCCTCATAATAGGGACAGATTTGATGAAATCTCCCAGTCATTCCAACATGAAATAATCCCACAAACTGAGAAACCTTATAGATGTGAAACATGTGGGAAACACTTTCGCTGGAGCTCAGACCTTGTCAGGCACCGTAGAACACATACAGGAGAGAAACCTTTCTTCTGTAGCATTTGTGGGAAGAGTTTTAGCCAGAAGTCTGTCCTCACAACACACCAAAGAATCCACCTGGGAGGTAAACCTTATTTGTGTGGGGAGTGTGGGGAGGACTTCAATGATCACAGACGGTATCTGGCTCACCGGAAAACCCATTCATCTGAGGAGCTCTACCTCTGTAATGAATGTGGGAAGTGTTTTAGCCACAGTGCAGCATTTGCCAAGCACCTGCGAGGACATGCATCAGTGCGATCCTGCAGGTGCAACGAGTGTGGGAAAAGCTTCAGTCGGAGGGACCATCTTGTCAGGCATCAGAGAACACACACTGGCGAGAAGCCATACACGTGCCCCACCTGTGGAAAAAGCTTCGGGAGAGGATACCACTTGATCAGGCATCAGAGGACCCATTCTGAAAAGACTCTTTTACAGGACTCAAGTGTAGAGAGAGCTGCATTGAGAAAAGTATCCCAATCTGAGGATGGGCTGTGAAAAAAGCCTTCCTATCACCTTGAAACTGGGGCTTCTTGCAGGGAGTCCCTCTGACCAGCCCAGATCTTGCCTCTCCTCTTTCTGTGTTCTTGTGCAGATCCTCTCAATCTTCTTGGTTGCTTTTGAGGGGACATTTTTTTTTCTATTCTGCTACCCCAGTAGGGCTTCTCCTCCACTGAGGGATCCTGTTTCTACATCTTTGGGATAAGTTAGGAGAGTGAGAGAGTGCTAAGGAGATGTGGTTAAGACACCTTCCAGGAGAGGCTGTGGTGTCTCTAAAATATCTTGGCTTTCTTGAGTAAAAAGTGACATAAAATGAGCCACAGGCTTGCTGGGCTTCTGCATGTCAGCAGACAGCCCTGTCTGAGACAGGAGATATAGGGCCCTTTGACTTTGCAACAAATTCACTGGATAACTCTGGACAGACAGACCCCTTGTCCCTTCTGTGATTCAATTGCCACATCTCAAAATGGAGAATACTGTTGATGCACTTTCTTTTGACGGTACAGGGTGGAATGGCAAAGAATTCTGTTCTTATCAAACAGGCACTCAAGGCTTATTGTTTGAGGCCCTTTGTGGCTTCTCCCTTCCCAGTTGCCAGGGTGGTGGTAAGCAGTGCTGAGATGGAGCTAAGAAGGAGGTCTCTTACCAAAGTTGGCTTCTCTTTTCCTACATGTTCTCTCTCTGTTGCCATTCATTCACACTCTTAGCCTCCTTTTTTCACCAGGTTCTTCTGTTTCTGTCCCAGGAAATACTTCTACTACTCAAGGTGAGGTGGGGGAATAAGTAAAACAATTAGGATTTAAATTAAAAGATATCATTTCCTATCCCTTCCCCCCTACCCCCTTTTAGATCTTATGGGAATTCAAGAGTAGTAACAGTTTAGAAAGGTACCATGGTACTAGAGTCATTTTGACTGAAATGTCATAGTTCCATGGGACCATCTACCAAGTGAAGAACTGAGTGGCCTCACAAAATCAAGAAAAAATTATCTGAGCCTTTCTGAGGTGTCCATAGCAAAGCAACTTGAGATGAGGTTCCCTGCTGACACCTTGTTCCCATCAACTTCTGCATAGTATATTATATCTGATATCAGGAAAAGATTCTTCTCTAGCCAGCACCTAGGAACTCAGATCATATTAGGAGTGGTTGATTTTAATGCATTTGTGAGTTTTTTTTCCCTCTTATTTTGTGTTTAGCTTCATTCTCCTGTTAGTGACAAAACAATAGCAATCTCTCAGTGTTCCCAAGAACCCTTATCTGATGAGGGTTGCCATGGAAATAAGGCAAGTTGCCATGGCAACTCATGAGCCCAACCTGGTCTAATGTGGGTGTGGTAGACTGGAGGAACTTCTTCCTGTAGTTGGAACACAAAAGTCTGGGCATGAAAGCACAAGGGGGACGAAGGCCCCTCTATTCAGTGCCTGGCTTACTCCGCTGTACTATGCCACATATGCTACTGATAGACCTCTATGCTGTAGGTGATAAAATGGGTTAATAATACCAGGCTCTCCATCCATATGAAACACCTCTGTACCTGCTCCCTCTTTATAAAGGAACTTTTATTTTGTTCATCTCTCAGGCCTCTGTTATGTGACTTCTTGGATTTTCTGAGATTCCCAAAAGGACTCGTCATTTTTTCTTCTGAGCACTAGCATGGCTCATTCATAGGTATCTGGAGCAGAAGTGACCTAAAAGAGCTAACTCTAAAAGAACTTTGAATGAGCAGGGTACAGCCTCACCCTTTATGGGGAGGGAGGGCTTTCAGGAGGAAGACTACATACAGGAGGATATTTCCCCATTCGTAGGGGAACATTCTAGAGATCCCTGGGAAGGAAGAAATTTTCAATTCTATACTATTACCAATAATAAAGATTTCTGAAGAGATCTCTGGCAAAACTGCTCTAAGATGAGACTAGAGGAAATGAAAATTTCTAATCTGATTTCATCAAATCAGAATTTGAGAGTTGGATAGGGCCTTTAATGTGTCATCAACTCCAATATTAGCATTTTCCATATGAGGAAGCTGAGGCCCAGAGAACTGAAGTGACTTGCCCAAGGTTGGACAAGGGCACAAAGCAGAGCCTGGAATAGAAGACTTTTAAGAGATCCTATGTAGCTTTCACACAAGTAGCCACAGAGGTTGTTACAATAATAGGAGTTAAGTTTCATGCTATTGTCATTCTGTAGCCCTGTGGTTGGTGGTGGTGGTTATGGCCAAGGTGAGGAGAATCTGTTGTAGCTTGAGCCTTGGGAAAGAAAGGGAATCCTAACCATTTGGGTCTTGGTTAGGGTTTATGAAGCAAAGTTGTGTCTCTGTTAAAATAAGAGCCAGGCCGTGGCAACTTTAAAAAAAAAATACTCAAAATTATAGCAAGCTAAAGCAATAGGACACAAACAGTTATGTACGTTTTCAGTATAAAAATAGTCAACAGTGAAAAGTAATAAGAACTTGAACAAAGATGAGAACAGGAATTGAACCATGAAATCAGAACTATGAAGAAGCTTCAAACATTGCTAAATCCAATGCATTCCCTAACAGAGGTACATCTTCTTAAGTGAGCATCCAACCTTTAACTGAAAACTTCCATTGAGAGGGAACTCATTGCATTCAAGAGAGCAAGATAAGCCTAAGGCCTTCCATATAGTATCCTTTAAATAGTTCAAGATGGTTGTGTCGCCTGTTTTCTCCAGACTAAATGTCTTCTATTCTTTCAACCAGTTCTTGGATTGCATGATTTTCAATTCCTTAAGGATTCTTAGTATCTTCCTCTGGACACGCTTCAGTTTGTCAATCAATGTCCTTTCAAAAATGCAGTGCCAGGAATAGGGTACTTTACCAAAGATGTGTTCTAATCAGAGCAGAGTATCACATTCCCCCAGGAATTAAACCTCTGAATACAGGCTAAGATTGTATTAACTTTGGGATTGCTGTGCCACATTGTTGATAGAAGAAGCATGCAGTCCACTAAAATTCCCAGTTTCTTTTTTTTTTCCACAAGTGTTTAGTCACACCTTCCCAGTGTTCTACCTTCGAAGTTTTTAATCTTTTTGCCCATGTATAAGACCCGTGTTAAGTTTTATCCCATCAGAGTTGGCCCATTGTTCTAGATTGTTGAGGAATTTATCGATTATGATTCTCTATTCTAACATCTCATAGCGTTGTTCATTGGCAAATACAATGAGTATGCATC